CAAGCGTCCACTCTACCACTTGACCACAAAAGATCTTCACAGTCACAGGAAAGCATATCTTAAAACAAGGCCAATGGTACATTTTTGCCGCGGTGTACCCAGGCCAAAGCCCACGATTTCGCTAGATACACCGCCGCGGTTTACGCAGGCCAAAGCCGATGGTTTCGCTAGGTGTACCCATCCGGTGTACCCATCCGGTGTACCCATCCACTTCGTTAGTGAATTATGTGCCAGCCTTCTAGCAAGCCTAAATTAAGAAAATTAAAGTACTGTAAAGAGTAAAGTAAAAGTTAAAAGTAAAAGTAAAGAAACAATATAAAAACATGTGACATGTGGTAAGAATCACTTATTTAAGTTATTATTACCTTTTTATAGATACTTCGGTAAGTCAAGGGAGACTACTACTTTTTGTGTATGGGAATTCGCAATCGCCGCTGAAAAATCCGAGTTTTTAATTTTCCGATGTGTGTGTCTATTTATTATTCAATTAGTACTTTCGATATATATTTGAGTTCCGTTTTCGGCCTTATAATTAGGTAGACATCTTGGCCTACATTTTAATCAATTTCTTTTTCATTTACAATCAGTCAGCTTTGAGAAAATCCTTGGTAAATATAAGGTAACTTTCATCATTAAAATTAAGTCGAAGGAAAAAATTTGTCACTACCAAATTTTTTTTGCATCTGGGGAATCTATTGATCTACATGTATGCCAATTTTCACAGCGATAAGTGTCTTATGAGAGACGCCATGTTTCTACGCGTTCGCAGCAGGTCATGCAGCTCGCTCAACCTAATTTCGCCATGGGGTGGGCCACGCCCCCTTTTTAATGGCGGAAGTTGCCGATACCTAGGAAATATTAATTTATTACCACTATTTACATCAAAATAATTGATAACTTGTGTTTCAGAATGCATTTTGAAGACATTTAAACTGGAATGTTTTAATTTGAGCTTTAACAACCCTGTAGAATCCATATTATAAATGATCAGAATTTACCGTGTGCAACACGTTGTCATTGGCAACCATTCACAGCCTCTTGCATAATGGCTGTATCGTAGTACTACCTCAGTGTTTCATTCATGAGTGTTTGCCATGTGCAAAAACTACTATACCATTGGTCAGGGAAAGCTTTAATTAATTATTCATGTGCCAAAGTTGAAAGTTTAAACTAAGTCTTCCCTAAACAGTATTTTAGTGATAAGGGGATGCGTTGCCTTATATAAAGTATATAGTCATTGCGCATGACGCGAACAGCGGAATGAGGTCACAAGATGTGGAGGTTTCGTCCATAGTAAAAAATACCAAACGAACTCACACTTTAAAAATTCATAGCTCAAAAAGTACTTAAGCTAAAAAGTTGATTCTGGTTTCATTTTTTTATTTGAAATTTGCTCTAACTAACTGTGTTTTTAAAAAAAATTATTTAAATTTTGTATACAAGTGCCTACTTTTTAACTTTTACTACTTATTATCTATTATTAAGTATTAAGGCTAAGGCTAAGGCTAAGGTAGGCACTTTGATGAAAATTTCTAAACATTTTAAAAAATATAAAACTACTACAGCTGTATAGAGCCAATAGAGTGGTTTACAAAAACACCAAGATCAACTTTCTAGCTCAAGTGGTTCAAAAGTTATGAATTTTTTAGTATGGACCTCAAAAGCACTTTTTCACTATGGGATTTTCCTCCACATTTCGTCCCCCTTATATTGCTATTGTTTTTATGCCTATAACTTTGTTATAAAATGAGACAAAAATATAATATTTACAGGGAACACAGTTAAATATGAGTTCTTCAAAATTAAGCCACAAAATACAATTGTAGCTTTTGTTAATATTCCGCAAAAAAATATTTTTAATCTTGATAATTTTCCTTATTAAAATGTATCAAATATGCTGACTCGTCACTTATTTGTATTTAATTAATATATTTTTTAAAAACACATATATATTAAATTTCCCTAATTTTATAACAATAATAATATTCTTTAGATATTAATTTCAAATTTTCAATGGAATTGTTTAACATTTATAAGTATCAAATAATAATACAGGGATTATTTGATTCCTTTATCTAAAATTGACAATTATACTTTTTATTTTTCCATTTTCTATATATGTATTTTTAGTCTCATTTGAATATGACCAAAAAAATAGCAGATTCTTTATTTTAAGTTAGTAATCTTGTTTCACAAATCAAAATGTATCAACTTTGACAGTTGATAGAAATTAAAATAAGTTCTAGTCATTTGCTTGAGGTAAGTACAAGCTTTTATGATTATTCTTTAATAATATCTTAAGAAATTCTTGGATCACTGTGGCAGAGTGTGTTATTTCTTGAATATTGAGGATTATATTATATAATAAGTTTCTTGTGGAATATTGTGATTTGTGAGTGAATACAGGATATTTCAATATCAAAGGTAAGTGAATATTTACATTTTTAATTTTATTTTAAGAATCATAATGTTTATTAAAATATGATTAGGCCTACATAGCCATAAATATCATTTACCTATAATAGATTCTGCAATAACAAGTTGGGATGTCACTAGGTCTATACTAGGCTTAAAGGATATATATATATATATATATATATATATAAATAAATATATATATATATTTTCCTACTGTAAGTGTAATAATGCTACTAAGGCTAGGGTTATTTATCCCACTCCCCCAATTAATACCTCAAAATAAAGCATCAGATAATATTATAAATAGGTATTTGTGCTAGTAAATTGTTGCTTTGTTTTAAAATTAGTTATTAGTGGGTAATATGCTGGATTTCCAGTGTAAATCAAGTTGCTTATTACAAAAACGTCCATTATCGATAATAGGTAATTTTGGGACACATGTGACAAAAATTTTGCACACAAATTTCTCACCCATGGCGGGGTCCTAACCTCACGAATTTTGGATATGTTGTCATTTATGCCTACATCTAACATTGGTATTTTCTCTTTTTAAACTTATATTTTCCAAAAAAAAATTATGAAAGAGTCAAATTAGCTATTATTTACCATTAATTTTCAATGTCAAACTGTCAAATTTTTTCTTAAAGAAAAGTGTCACATGAACAACAAACATGTCTGCTTTAAGTTGAGGGCAGAAATAGAATTTAATAACAAAACTAACTTTAGCAAAAAAAATCTTAAACAACACAACCCTCGGTAAATTAAAAAGTGGAGGTCGCCATTTTGACAACGAAATCACGATACCCGGTTTTCGGCACTTCCCGGATCATACCGAAGTCCCTAGCTAAGGCAATGATTGAATGAAATTTAAACGCGAATAATTATTTCTAGCGATATAAAATTAAAACTTCCTCTTTACCTGATGGAACTAAAGGCTTAAAAAATAGCGTCTTTTTGTTCGAATACAATAACCATTTAACAAAATTGTACAAGAGTTTTAAAAAAAATTGTACATTCTGTTATTAGCGACGCCATTGTGGGAAAACAAGGAGAACTCTTCTGTCTTCAAAGATACGTTATAAAAGTTGCCCAATTGGATATATTTAAGATTTAAAATAATTTTTTAAAAATTTATAGATCAATCTAAAATAATTTTTAAAAAATTTATAGATCAATCTACTTTTTTAATTCTTTCTAGCCCACTGGATCCATGCACAGCAATGTAAAGGTGGTACTCGCAAGGGACCTCAATATCAGGGGGCGCATTCACCCAGGGCGCCGCTTTTCCTTTGCACGGCTGTGCATCCATTACGGACGTAACGTCGTAACCGCGTAACGCGGCTAGAATATTTAGGGTGGGGGGTTATGTGAGAAATATTTGCTAAATATACACTTTAAATAGAATTGTCAATTTCCTTTCTTAAAATGTGTGATAGTTTCGATTTCTTTCTCAATAAATAGCTGGTGATTTACTAAGACTAAGAGGCAAAAAGTGGGAAAGTAATGAAATAATAATAATATGTTAGTAGCGAAATAAACACCATTGCAAACAGATGACTAACAAAGCAACTTGGTTCCATCCAGATCACAGAGCTATATCCTTTAACTTTAAGATGTTCATTGCAACTACCTTGTGAATTAGGTCAAGTCAAATGAGAAAAGTTGTTGAAAGGAGATTCGAGATATCATGAAAAACAGTCAGTGTCCGCATGTATAACTCCCAGTGCCAAGGAAAAAGTTTAAAATTGGTGGTTTTGTTCTGACTAGGCCAAGCTCTCTAGAGGAATAGTTGAAATAAATTCATTATGAATGAAATTTTCATTATTTAGAGCATCTAATTAATTCATAAAGTACTGTGTGATTAAATCTTTTAACTTAAACAATACACATAAATAATCTTAAATAAAGGATTTAATTTTAATAATTAAATTAATATTATTACTTTTCTAAAATTCAAATAAAAACAATAAATGTATCTAAATCATCTTCATTACTAGATTAAAAAAAAAAAATAATTGATCTCCGAAAATGGCTTAAACTAAAAAAAGAAAATAAGAAATAAAAAAAATCTACCCGTCCTAAGAGAAATTAACAAAGCAAAAATAAAAAAATAGAATAGAATAAAACTATGAATCTGTGAAATAACAAGGAGAAAAAGCAATTAAAAAAAATAATTCTCTTACAATTATTGTTATCACACCCGGCTCTGAAGCCATTTAATCTGTACGGAGCCACTCCGGGTGCGAATAGTTATTGGGAATTATAAGTACCCGGGTACCTATAGCTGCAGCCTTAAAACAATTGTTTTTCATTTGAGTGTTTGGCCTATTCCACACCTGCGCTTTGTTGAAAATCAAATTTTATATTTTCGAATCATATAAAATAATAACAGGAGATAAAAATTTCGAACATTTGGATTAATAACTTATCGGACCATGTACAATACAACTTGATCTTCTGATCTAAATTGATTTTATTTTCTGCATCTAATGGCCGAAAAAACTATTCGAATGCTTTGAAATAATATCCGAAACAAAATTTAGTACTTAATATACCGGTCCTGCGCATTGGACGACGGTGATGATAACTTTGCCAAGTAAATAGTGTCTACGCGAATTGTGGTGAGTAGACCGACACATTCAATTTCATATTCTTTTCTAATTAAAAATAATCATTTTACTACTTATATACGATTTAAATTTGATTATTAATATATTTTAAAATAGATTTCGGGGTACCAGCTTTTTATATAATTTATAGGCCTAGTAAGTAGTGAAAATTCTATTTTAAATTTACTTATTCTTGTCTTATTACTTATTACTCTTATTTAAGATTATTTGGAAGCCACTTGAGTTTTGACTTGACTTGACACTTGACTTATTTCATTATTAGCCTACTTAAAAATATATTACCTAATTATAAAAATTGATTAAAAATTCAGGTCAATAAATTGAAACTTGAAACTCAACTCTTAAAAGTTAAATGTTATTTAAATTTAATTTAAAACTTGTGCGTTTACTTTTCCTTTTACTTTTGTCATATTTTAGGCCTTAGACAATAATAGTAATAGTTGACAATACTTTCAATACTAACTATGACATACTCAATAAAAATTATTTAAAAATTAGTCTGTTTAATTAATTAACTTAAGTTTAAGAACTAAGACGAAGAGACTTAATGACTTAAGTGTCTTAAGGCTTCTCACTTCTCAGTCTTCTCACTTCTCAGTCTTATCGAATTGATTAAATTTAAATGTTTATACTTGTATGCTCCACATTGCTGCATACTAATGCTGCATAGAGTCAAAAATTTTTTAAATATCTAAATAGTTGGTAAATTTGGAGAGATAGCACCAGGTTTTTTTTCCATGGCCGCCATGCGCCATCTTGGTTGCCGCAACCCGCGAACTTTTACATGTTCACAGGTTGCGGCAATCAAGATAGCGGCAGTGGAAAAATAAAATAACTCATGTTTGCTAAAATTAGGACAGAAACATTAAAAATTAATGAAAAAAATGTCATAAATGTATCCCTAAAACTAACCTGAACCCTAAGTCCCTTATGGAACAGGGTTTTGACCCTATCGGAACCAGGGTTTTAACCATATCGGAACCAGTGTATTGACCCTGAAAGCGAGGAAAATGAAGGAAAAAAAAAAAAAAAAATTGCCAAGTATAATTATAAAATAAAGAAATAAAAAAACCCAACTAAAAGTTTCATGGAATACACTTTTACACACTTTATTAAACCTGAACCCGAAGGACCTTATGGAAAAGGGTTTTGAACCGAACGGAACCAGGGTTTTAACCATAACGGAACCAGTGTAATGACCCTAAAAGCGAAGAAAAAGAAGGAAAAAAAAAAAAAAAAATTGCCAAGTATAATTATAAAATAAAGAAATAAAAAAACCCAACTAAAAGTTTCATGGAATACACTTTTACACACTTTATTTCAGGTTCCACCGAAAATAATATCCACAAAATGAATGAAACACCATAAGGTAATTCAATAACGCCAGTTGAAAGATGGCGGAACACATAAAAATATTATAACTGGCCAACCAATAACATTTTAAAATTATAATTAATCAACCAATAAAAATTTAATTGAAACATGTCATCATCATATTAATGAAAGTGTAAATTTATTAACAAAAAAATAAGGGGAGTGAATCCAAAACAGCAACTTAACAAAACACGCAAATGACGTCAGGGTGCTATCTCTCCAAATTAGCCAAATAGTCTATGATTTTCTTCCTTTTAAATGGAGGGGGCGAGTGGGTAATGTCAGTGTAAAAAATATACTGACAGCGTAAAAAACATGTGAAAGATGTCATGGCGCATTCTCTTAATGCTGCATAATAATAATATATGGTCAATGCAGTTATTTTGGGTTATGGTTAAAACAGTATGCTGACCCCTGTGCTACACTTATTAAATGAACACAGGGTAGATTGCATTACGCGGTATATAATATAGTCGCTAGTAAATAGTAATAAATGAAGAGGTGATTTTCAAAATGCTGTTTCTCCATTTTTGGCGTTTTGAGATATTCGACTTTTTCTGGATCAAATTTTCGGAAAAGTAATTGTTAATTTAGGTATATATTCAAAATATAAGTTAGATTATGATGAAAATTGAAATGTAGGTTAATTAATATGTATTTATTTACTTAGGTCAATTTCCTATTTCGTTTCAAAATGCTGTGTATCCAAAATTCAAACCGCGTTTTGAAAATAAAATCATTTTTAGACATAGAATAATATAGGATTAAAATGTGTTTTGTAGATGAATTTTAACATGTCCTAAAGGAACCTGGTTTGCTCTACAAGACTGCACATTTATCTCATTTTTTTCTAAATGGCGGATACTGCGTTTTGATAATCGACTCTTCAAATATTGTTAAAGGTTCTCCAGTGTAAGCTTTGGTATTTAAAATAAAAAACTTTTAAAGAAAAGGTGCTTTGTTAGTTCTACATATTGATACTCTTTCAATTTCCATGAATACAAAGATAGTTTAAAAAAGATCTGTTTTTTTGTTTTCGTTGGGATAACCCATAATATGTTTCAGTCTGATCATGCTGCATGGAGGACTTTTTAAAGTCACTGAGCTGAGTATAGACAGTGTCTACTAACATGATAGTAAATAATAGCTGGGGAAATCGCAACCACGTTGAGTGTTTAAAATATGGGAAGAGGTGCATAATCTATATTAATATTTCCAGATGGCACTTTATATATCCACTAATGCCTTCACTCTGTGTATTCTTTTATAAGCATTTGGTGTCTTTGACAGAAGCATCAAATGAGAGCACATCATGGTGTGCAGTCGGGGTAGATAATATCCAGGCATAAATTATATTATAAGATAGACCCATTGATATAATAACACGGAGCTGGGTCTATAAAAAGGGAGTGTTATAAAAGCTATAGGCCTAATTGATATATATTATAGTCAAGGTGTTCAAGAGTTGTTCCATACAGTTTTATGAAATATGTTTCTGACTATTGACAGTGTTAGACTTTGTGTGGCTGTGTATATGAGGCATATAATAAAATATAATAAAATTTCAAGTACTCTAGACTAGATTAGTGAGTCTAAACTGCTGAATACTGAAACATTCATTCTAATCATTAGTCATACCCGTACACTCTTAAAAGCCAAAAGGCCTATATGGGGGCCATCCATAAACAACTTCACATTCCCGGGGTTTTGGGGGGGGGTGGGGGGGGTGGGGGGTGTATGTATTTGTAACAAGGGGGTCTGTTTGTATGATGGGAGGATGGTAAAATATTTGCCAATATACATAATTTTTGATGGCCCCCTGAATATATTACAATTCTATTTATAAGTTAAGGCATACTTAACCTATATGGGGGCCATCCATAAACAACTTCACATTCCCGGGGTTTTGGGGGGGGGTGGGGGGGGTGGGGGGTGTATGTATTTGTAACAAGGGTGTCTGTTTGTATGATGGGAGGATGGTAAAATATTTGCCAATATACATAATTTTTGATGGCCCCCTGAATATATTACAATTCTATTTATAAGTTAAGGCATACTTAAGAATATTAAAATCATTTCAGAAATACATGCATGGGTAGGTATGTAGATGCCATGCTCTTTAATGAAGATTGAGAACATCCTTGAGTCTAAATCTGTATTAATTATATTCATTTAAAGGTCAAAGGTTTGAGGGATGGGCTATGAGATAGGGAGGTTTGAAGGGGAAGTTGATGAGGAGCTCATTTGTCCCATTTGCAGCTGTGTCCTAGAAGAGCCACTGCAAGTGAGTATCCTATGATCATTTTATGTAACAAAAATTCATTATTTAATAATTATCCCTGATATTTTAAGGCATTTTGATCTAAATACTCTTGCTTTGAATATTTTTTGAAAGACAGACAATGTCTTTTGTGTGTTGAAGACATTTTTTTTTTTATTCAAGGCCCCACAATGTGAACATGCATTTTGTGCTGCATGTATTCACGAGTGGCTCACTCGGCAACCTACTTGCCCAGTTGATCGCAGTGCCATTACACCAAATCAGTTGAAAAGTGTCCCTAGAATCCTAAGGAACCTACTGTCAAGATTAACCATTTCCTGTGATAACAAGGTAATCTCTTATGTCACAAAACATTAAATATTTTATGAGTACATGGAAACTGAAATTTGAAATTTGTCCTTAAAAAAAACACCCCAAAAAAGCATACAATTAAAATGTATCCTCAGTTCATTGAAATAAGTAAATTTCTGTTTAAAAAAACATGTACATGATGGTAAAAATTTAGCAGACTTTAAGTTATAATGAATAATAGTTAGGGGTGTGCCGGACTCCGGTCCGGAATCCGGTTCCGCCGGATTTTGCACTATCCGGTGAAATCCGGTTCCGCCGGATTTACATGTATCCGGAACAACCGGAATCCGGAATATACCGGATTTCGGAATTTGCCAGATTTTGTGACTCACCGGATCATAATCTGAAATAAAAGTAATTCTCTTTCCCGAATTCCACACGATCACGATACATTAATCGATTGTTTCGAGCGTTGAGCTTGTTTAATGTTTAATATTCCGTACATACCAGAGGCTAGAGTCAGCACCGCTAATAGTGGCCAATAGTGTAGGGACTTTGATAAGAAAATTTAAACTTTTTGTAAAAATAAACCAATGGCATAGTTGAAAAGATGTAATTTTTTAAAGAATTATAACACCAAAATCATATTTTTAGCTGTTGTAGTTTTAAAGTTATGAATTTTTAAAGTACGACTTGGTTTGTCATTTTTTAACATGGACTGCATCTCCACATTCTGTGATCTCATTCCGCCAATCCCGTCATGCGCAATGACTATATAGTTTATATAAGGCAACGCATTCCCTGCCTTATCACTAAAATACTGTTTAGACTTAGTTTAAACTTTCAACTTTGGCACATGAATAATTAATTAAAGCTTTCCCTGACCAATGGTTTAATAGTTTTTGCACACGGCAAACTCTTATGAATGAAACTCTGAGGTAGTACTACGATACAGTTATGCAAGTGGCTGTGAATGGTTGCCAATGACAACGTGTTGCACACGGTAAATTCTGATCATTTATAATATGGATTCTACCGGGTTGTTAAAGCTCAAATTAAAACATTCCAGTTTAAATGTCTTTAAATGCATTCTGAAACACAAGTTATCAATTATTTTGATGTAAATAGTGATAATAAATTAATATTTCCTAAGTATCGTCAACTTCCGCCATTAAAAAGGGGGGCGTGGCCAACCCCATGGCGAAATTAGGTTGAGCGAGCTGCATAACCTGCTGCGAACGCGTAGAAACATGGCGTCTCTCGTAAGACACTTATCCAAATGGAACGGAACTCAAATATATATCGAAAGTACTAATTTAATAATAAATAGACACACACATCGGAAAATTAAAAACTCGGATTTTTTGGCGCCGATTGCGAATTCCCATACACAAAAAGTAGTAGTCCACCTTGACTTACCGAAGTATCTACCAATAGTACCAAAATCCGGAATCCGGGAGAAACCGGAATCCGGATCCGGCGGATTTCGCATAAGAAAATCCGGATCCGGATCCGGTTGGAAAAAACGGATCCGGCACACCCCTAATAATAGTGTTCTACAAAAATACTCTTTCACATCGTTCTTGGTGGTTCATCATCATTACATTGTGATTAAATGACAAATTTTATCTTCTTTACAGTCCTTTGGCTGCACCAGTGTAATGAAGCTGGATGCTCTTCCTTCACATCTTCAAGATTGTGAATTTAATCCTAAAAAGCCAGTGCAGTGTGACAAAGGTTGTGGTCTTGTTGTTCCTAAAGATGAAATAAAGGTTTGTTTATAGTTAGTTTGTTCCAAACTAGTATGCATAATTAATTCAGAGCACTCTGCAGTTTTAACAGAGCAAGAAAATTCAGGCTGTCTCGTTGGTTTTTGAAAAATAATTAATCTCGGACGTGCAAAATGACCCCTTAAAAATTGACATGCGATTGATATGTTGACTGCTTCTGTATTGAATAGTTTTGGCTTTGAGAATGTTAAGAATTGTTTTACGTGTCTAAGTTGTCTGGGGTATGACATTTGAAACACACTATACACCAGTACACAAACACTTGACTCAAAGTTCTTTGCAGTTATTAGTTATAAACATTTTTTCCACTACACTCTAATCCAACACGTTATCTCAATAGTAATGTGGGTTCTGGTAAAAAGCTTAGCCAAAGAAGCACATGATCTAAAGGGATCTCTGGCAACAATAATAACATAAACTGATACTGCAGCATCCGACTTACTCAGCTCCCCTCCTGCTCTACTGCCCACCTGCACAGTACTACCCCCTTTAGTATCCCTTCTTTATATAGTATTCCTACGCTTATAGTCCGATCCGCATTCAGGCACAATAACTATTCTCATTTATAACAAATGGACCCTACCACAAAAACAGCCTCTCAGGGATTCCTTGACAGAGACCATGAGTTTTAATTGTTGAATTCTCAGTAAATACTCAGCATCAAAGCCCAAAATAGATTTACATACAATAGAAACTAAACAATTTTTTTTCTCTTGCCATGAATTGTTTTAGTTTATTTTAAAGGGAACAATGCATATTTGTATAGTGCTGAATGATTTTTTTTCTCTCACTGGAAGGGGCATGATTGTTTGCCAGTAATGGGTTGGACCATATGGATATATATGGGTAAGATCATATACCTCAGAGACATCACCTTAAGTTAAAATATAGAATAAAAAAAATAAATTTTGGTTTTTGCCAAGGATCATAATTGTGTACGGGAACTTCGCAACATGATGTCACAAATGCAGCAAAAGTTGACAGACTTACAGACGGAGAGTATGGAACAAAAATTACAGCTAAGGGAACAGAAACGGGAAATACAGAGTTTAACAGTATGTGGATTTATTGCTATAGTTATTTTTACATTTTGATAGTTTTGAGGGATGGGAATGGGTTGAAATAAAATGTTTTTACCAGCAATTTACTGCCATGACATTATGATTCCAATGTGTTTTACATATCATTTTAAAATAAAGTTATATTATATCACTGATCTCTTCTTCTCATAGTAAACTTACTTAAAATGAAAGCTTTGACACTTTGAATAGTGAAAATTCTGATCTTAAGACTTTCGCTTTTTTAAATTACAGGATTCCTTGCGTGCTGTGAGAATTATGAACCCAAGGATTAGAGATATCCAGACCACCATGGAAAATGAAGATTTGACGAGGTGAGTCAGTAAAGACATTATGTTGAACATCTTACAAGCTGAGTCAGCGGGGTCTAAGGTAAAACAGAATGCTCTGTCATTTAATTGTCTCCCTGTTTAAAGACATGTATTTTATTTAAGGCAGTTAAAATGTGAGGGAAAAAAAAGTTATATTAGCTAATGAGATTATGAGAAATACATTTTTTTATCTTAACCCATTCAATAGGACACATTTTTTTCAGTGGAATGTAGTAAAATTAAGGGACTAAAATTCCATTCGACCTGATGATTTGTAATGAAAATCCCTGCTTTCTGTTTATCAAACCTTTTTTATGTAGCATATCAGAATCTAGCTAATTAAACAAGGAAAATGTTTTTCTTAATAAAATAGTGATACAAATTATATCGAGAAAAACTGAAGGGGTAATATGACAGTGTTATGTAAAGGTAACAATAAAATTCAATTTTGTCCTTGCCTTTGGATGATTCATTGCCATAGTGTAGCATAAAGTGATATATATATCCTGAAACCTCTGTCTGTTAAATACATGCATGGTGTATCCAAGGGATATAGGTTTCAGAAAATATAGACCAATAATCCACAAGAGCTGGCCTTTTTATACATGCCCATATAAATCAAAACGGCTGTGAACATGTCTAGTTTAGTCTAGAAATGTCCTTCCATCTTCTAAAGAGCGTCTGAGTGCAGGTGTGTTAACTTGTACTTTTCTTTTGCTATAAGCATTTACTGACTTAACAATGTAATCCTTTACATTATCATCACGTAATGCATTGAAGAAATCAATAGAAGTTGGGTTTTCAATATAGGCATAATTTTGTGGCTGGAAGAATATATTCCGATTATTCCTCATCACTCCTATCAAATTGCAATCTTTTATAATTGGCTTGCTTCTTCGACAGTCATACATCAAAGTCTTGAGCAAGCAGACCTAATATTAGTACCAGTACAACTTGTTGAAGCCATTACAATTATTTGTTTACAATTTTTAAAACGTCAAAACACAAAAATACGCTAAACGTGGTACAATCCGCCAGAAATTTCAAACAAATGAAATTAAAAGTCTTCTGAATAAAAGTTTAAAAAGCTATAAATAAATAGTTGACTTTAAAAGTCGAAACACTAAAGGCATGAAACAAACCAGTGATGATGCAGTCTGCGGCTAAACATAGTCTGTCGAAATCAGTGTGAAAAAATACAATATTTTTATTGGTTTCAATTTAAGGTCCTTCCAATTTAGAAAAAAAATATGTAGATTCTGCCAAATAAAATTGAATTGAAAATGTATAAATATTAATTATATACAATAATTTACTTAGATCATTAATTTTTAAAAAAAATGAGATGACTATAGGTTGATAAATTAAATCTTAAAAGTAAAAGTGTTAGAAATTAGTGGAGACAATATTGTTTATTTGTTAGTATGTTACCTTAAATGCCAGCCTGTTCTATGATTAGAAGTAATGTTCACATTCTGGCGAAATTATTCATGTATTTTCATATCAATGATTGCTAAAAGATAACCATTTTTTAAGTAATAATAAAAATATAAAAAAAACACCATATCGTGGCATGCTGTAAAAAATGCACAACTCTTATAGATATCTTGTATAGACTTAAATAAACACACCCAATAGTGTTAATTTCATAAAATAAACTTAAATTTGTGCTAAAACACATTTATACAGACCTTCTGGCCTGATGGGCTTAAGGATTTTATTTTATTCATTATGCGATAAATTTATTATTCATTGTAACTGACCATGGTATTTTCTTCCTGCCTGAAAGGTGGGTAGGCAGCCTTCAAGCTGCGCGTGTGACCAGATGGGGTGGAATGATATCCACACCCGATGCTGTCCTGCAAGCTGTGATAAAACGGGCACTCATGGAGAGTGGTAGCCCATCCCATGTCGTGACCGAGTTAATGGAGAATGCACATGAGCGCCGCTGGCCCAGTGGACTTAGCACGTTAGAAACAAGGCAGCTCAACCGTAGACAATATGAAAATTACGTCACAAAAAGGATTCCAGGTAAAATTTTGTATAACAATTAGTTTTCCAAATGAAGTAGATTGCACACTAGCAAGTTCGAGTATAGTTGTATGCCTTAACAGTTTCCACTGGAAGCTTTCAAGATGGGTAACTCATTTCTTGGCTGGGTAACTCATCAAAATAATTGAGTCAGAGGACTTTGGTGGGGTCAAGACATCTTTGAACCAATCACCAATGTCTTAGGAGTTAGAAGTAGGAAATGAGAATTTTAAGATTTCTATTGTAAAAATCATCGTGACAAGAATATTTCTGTGGTGACAGTCAACTGTTTTTTTACCTCCATGTTGTGTCTTCTGTGTTTAGGGAAACAGGCGGTTGTCGTGATGTACTGTGAGAACCAGCACATGCCTGAGGATCTAATCATAGAACCTGGCCTGGTCATGATATTTGCTCATGGTGTCGAGTAGAAGTTCAAGTTTCAGGTCAGTGAAGTTATGATCTAGTTGATATAGTGATGGACACCAGGATGGAAGAAGTTGAACCATTCAGTTAGCAGGATGGAAGAAGTTGAACCATTCAGTTAGCAGGATGGAAGAAGTTGAACCATTCAGTTAGCAAGATGGAAGAAGTTGACCCATTCGGTTAATCTTTCAAGAACACAACCTTCCCGTCACTATTTCTATCAAAACCCACGAGCACTATTTTAATGAGTTCTACTAACTCACTTAAAACTTAAGATTTAAGGTATCCTCCTAAATTTGATATAAATAGAGTGGTGATCTCCAAGTGTGTCTACAGCGAGGTCTTGGTATTGTGCTGAAATCTGGGGGGGGCGACAGAAAAAACCCAACACCTCTTAATTTTGTAGCTGTGTGTCCTAATAAAGCAAAATTAAATAGTTACCTTATGCAACTTAATTGAACCATTGGAGGTAAATATAATACAGACACAGATATATCATGAATTTTTTAAAACCATGCAACAGCTTTAACGGTAATGTAAAGTAAGATCTTAGGATATCTGTTAAAGTCTAACATAACATGTGAGACATCATACCATTACAGACTCAGAATTGCTAATTTGAAGACTGGAACCACAAATGATAATGGAGCGCTATAGCTATCTGAAAGAGATGTTAGAAAATAAGCTCCAATGTTCACATGATGTAAATGATTAGCTCTTGTATAAATGTCATTAAATTCTAATATTCTTGTTGAAATTTTTGAAGAAAAAAATTCATCATGTACATTTGATCTGTATCATGGGACATTTTAGCACATTTTCAAGAGGTCCACCATCTCATTCTTGGTCCACTAACTCCTCCTTCGTCCACTATCTCTTTCTTATTTCAGTTAAGTATGCTAATGCTTTGTTGCTGTATCATTTTAAAATATAATACACTTCTTTTATTGTTGCAGGAAACCCTATAAACTAGTCATCAAATGAAGTTGTTGAGCATTGAAAGCAATGAACTGCTGACTCTACTGAAGGAATCCAGACACGACCAATGTTGTGAACGTTTTAATTTAAATATAATTACAACCATACATAACAGCTGCAAGGTGCGGGAGCTTAAGAGTTAGCTCCAGCACATGTGCCTCCATAGCTTGACAATTCAACACCTCACATGTACGTGTGCTTTACAGCTTCACGGTTCAACACATGACATACACACGGGCTATGCAGCTTGACAGTTCAACACCGCCAATGTACATTTACAAACAGCTTGTCCGTTCAACTCCTTAAACGTTTCAATGCCCGTGCGGTATGGTTGTTTCTTTACATACAGGATCAGTGCACATAGGACATTCCTCAGCACACCCCACATGTAAGCAGTACAGTTTCATGTAAGCTGTAGGCAAGAGCTTACACGGGTTCTTAAGGAATGTGCTTTGGGGGGTAACTTCACTCATGACCGGATATTGTGTGCTGATTCACCTGTGTCGCTGGAACACTAGGCGTTACACATCTGCTGTACTCCAGGACACACAACACATATCGTAGCTACACACTACAAACACACAGTAGCTGCACACATTTATTAAGACATATCACTTGCATACATGTTCAAGCTGTGCTTTGCCTGACCTAGTTTTCAATGTGGATGCTCAAACTGTGGCTCAGTAACACCCTGGTTGTTCATTTTCATATGTTAATAAATATGACAAGAGCACAACTGAGAACAAAATCTCTCCTGTTTCTGAGTTGGTGTAGGTGAATCTCAGGCCCAGTTTATCAACAAAATAATACCTTACTTAATTTATACTTTGTCTTAATCAATGGAAAACTTTTTCTGTCTGGTACTAGTACTATTTATATTTATTTTTGTGTATAATTTGAAGATTTTTAAAAGTATTAAGTTATTGAAGCTACTTTTAAAATAAATAATTATTTTCGCATCATTTATTTTCATAAAATGTAATAAGAATAGGTATATGGGTCCAGTCTGTCCCACTTTCTATTTAATCCACCCTGTAATAAGTAGAAAACACTTTTTCTTTTACCTTTCTCACTCTAGTTCTTGGAAAGATTTAAAAATGTTTAAAAAAAAAAATTAATGGTTAATTTTTAGACATTTTTATTTTAATGCTGGGGTTTTCTCAAGTAGGATATGCTTCACAATTGAAATAATGGATTCTGGGCAGGGGTGCGGTGCCACTTTTCCAGATTATCCTAGAATTCCGGAGTCGTGAGGCTAAATATTTTTCAGCTGCGGATTCGCAAGTTTGCCAGTTCGGTTAATTTTTTAGATATGGATTCTGGGTTTAAAAAAAAATAAATCAATGTGTAATAACGCATGAAAGCAACAAGAGCGGCTTTGCTATAAATAGAACGGGTGAATTTTTTGAATTTTATTAAGTTTCAGGGTTTGAAAAATTTGTAAATTAAGTTTCAGGTTTCAAGAAATTTTTTAAAAGGGATTTCAGGGTTCACAGCTTTCAGTGAGTGGCACCCCTGATTCTAGGGTCTTCTCAAGTGACATATGCTTCACCATTGAAATAATGGATTCTGTTGTCTTCTCAAGTGACATATGCTTCACAATTGTAATAATGGATTCTGTCTCCTTCACTAATATTACAGGGTTCTTCAATGTCACTAACTAATAATTTTCATCAATTATTTAATGATCATGATTTTATGAGGAAATTTGAGTGGAATTCTGAGGACCATGAAAAATGTATCTTTGATGTTAATCTAGATAAGATTAAAAGCAAGATAAGTTGAAACTGATAATGGTTTACAATTTTTTTTCTATGTTGCTCACAATTTATCTACAGAATATAATTTCAGGATTGAATTTGTGCCATATTATAAGCTATGACATATCAATGATTCTTAGATTTAGAAATTGGTTACTGACCTGGAAGAAGCTTTTTTTCAAGAATTTCAAGTTCTGTAACTCTAAATCGCTGCGTTTTTTGTTTTTATTACCCGGCCCTGCATTTTTCAACTATAATCCTGTACCGGTAATCAAAACTTGCTGCCACCATTCAACGCACTGGTCATCTGGTGTATCTAGTCTATCACAAACACTTCTATTACGGCTAGATTCCATCTCATTATGTTATCTCTGGAGCCTTTTCTCACAAGGTGTTTGTTATGTTGCTGATGGCTCAAGTTAATGTCATCTCAGTCATTGTGTCTATGTCATGCAAAATTTTCATCATTTGAATCATCCATTTTAAAAAAAATGAATTACTGGTTGAAAGGTGAACTCTATTAAAAGACTGACAGGAGGAAAGCTGTTCATTGAGGGACCCCTGCTGGTTTTTTTTACTTGCTGTGGTGAACAATGTTCCATTTAGGTGCTCACATTTGTCAAGCTGTGTGAAAAAATTAAGGTCTCTTGCTTCACATTAATCATTGTGTCCTAATTTTGTGACCAGAAAAGTTGATTGCTTTAAAAAACCGTAATAAGGAAATGGTGATATTTCCAAAAGACTTGTCTTTAAAGCTCAACATTTTTACACTTGATAATTTTTATCTTTACTATAAAATGGTTTAAATTTTGAACTGTAAATTGAAATTGCTAGAACCTTTTGTATTTATTTTTTTAAAATCAAAAGATGCAACATTATTTTTATTAGTTGGAAGCAATGACTTGATTAGTCATGCTGCTGCTAAATATTACTTTATTTCTCTTTTATGCTATCATTTTTATAGATACAATTTTAAGCACATTTTCAAAAGATTTAATTTGGGGTTGTGCACAAGTTTGCTGAAATTCAGTGAAATCTTTACAGTTGAAATGAAAATGTCTCTGCTGGTACTTAAAATAAAAAAAAAAAATACATGAACCGATGGTGTATTAAACAGGGAGTGAACTCAGTACATAACCAGCTGATTTTCCTCCCTTTGACCAACAATGTGTTTTACTGGTCATTGAAAAAAATGTAAGTGAACTGGACTTAAAATCCAGCACTTGACTTACCCAAGATGTAGAGGGGAACCTTCAGGATCTTGTAGGTTCATATCAGCACTTGACTTACCCTGAGGTATAGAGTAATAGAAGGCCTCCAGGATCTTGTAGGGAATCTCTTAATGACTCGGGCTCTTTATTTCAGTGAGCACAACTCTGAGAAGCCAGGTGTGTTTACCAGGGTTCACTCATCATTGCCTCTGTTGCTTGGTCAACTCATGTAACTGGTGCACTTGACATGTCATTGGTCTCACTGTACACCACAGTCACTCGGGCAGGGGTGAGATTGCTTACGGTAGCTAAATCACTGTGAACAATAAATAGGTTGTGCTCTACAGTTGTTAAATTTTCTGCTCAACAGGGTTTTTTTTGCTTTTGTTGGACAGATTTTGTATGTTTACTCATGCAGTCAGTTCTTTCCCTTGATCTGATCTCTTTTTTTTGTTTTGTTTTTGTTACGGGGACTTTTTATTAAAGTTTTGACTTATTTTATTTTATGATTGCTTGGATTTTGTCCAACAACTGATTTCTGCAGTCTCTCCTCCCCCACTCACTTTTATATTAAACATATTTTATTATTATTGCCAGATTTTTTTATAGTTAAGATGAAATAGGCCAGCTTGGATAAATTTTTTTTGGAGCATACAGTTGCAAGCCAAAACCGCCTTACCGTACCAAATAACTAAGTCATGTTAATGATTAATGCAACATTGGTTTAATTTTACTGGCAATTGGGTGATTAAATCAATGGGTGGTCATTGTCATAACTTTTTATTTTTGTTTGGTTCATGCTTGGACCTCTTAAGGTTATTTTAAAAATATTTTCTGTGTGTAGCCTGAGTGAAAATGTTGCAAACCTTGTCTTACTTAAATGGTTACTGTCAAATGACAATTTATTTCACCTGGAGGATTTTGTAAATCGTTCTTTAAAATAAGGCATCAGATGATGTCATGAGTTTGTTTTTTTAGGCACACGGACCTCATGACTTCTTACCTTGAACCCCCCGAGTCCTGGTCCATGTTACAAACTTGAGACTAAAAGATGTGTTTGACCAGCTACTATGGACTTATGAACGCAGTGTGGGAAAAAAAATTCAGTCTTTAATTATTGGTCATTATCAGAACGTTTGGACTGCGATAAATCTTTAAATAGATTTGTGAAACACACAAAATTTGTGTAAATCAAACAATGTAGGTTAAGCTTAACGGAATACAAACGCTTCGGGAAATGCCTTCATCAAAACCGGGTAGGACAAAAAAAACATTCATATGTATAAGTATAGGTTAAATTTACAAATACGTAATATTTATATCATATATAATATATATGTATCCCACTTAAAACACAAAAAAAAAGAGAAAGAATTCTTTTATTTCATTTTAGATTGGATACATGTAAATATATTATGTAAATTTAATGTATACTTAAATGAATTTTTGTTGCTGTCGTTGAGTATGTTGTATGCAAATGTTTTGTATCTCATTAATTTATTTATTGGTACTTGTTTGATACTGAAAAAGCTCTTTACATGACTGTTTAAAAAAAAATCATAGTTAAGTTTGATCTGTGGTGTATGATTGTACAAGGTCATCTGGGGGATGTAAAATGTGATCTTTAATTGAAAGATTGGTCAAGTTACAATATTTTTTAATATAAATTATAAATGATTGTAAGATTGTGTCAGCATTGATATCAAATTATTTAAAGATGTTGGCTCGTCGTGTTTAATGTTGATTGTAAGACTGCATTACTATTATTATTAGTTACAGTATATACATGTTGACTATGCAGCAGGGGTGGGCATGTCCTATCTGTTACTGTTGGTCCCCAAACCTGCAATCAAATCATTAAAAATATAATAGTAAAATCCCAATCTTCTGAATCAATGCTAACTTTTCTAGTGAAAAGCAGTTGCTGGTCTGATGTACAGTAGGTCCTGGTCTAGTGTGCACCCATGTTCTGGTCTAGTGTACAACAGTCTCTAGTCTTGTGTACATGGTGTTCTGGTCTAGTGCACAGCAGTTCTTGGTATAGTGTACAGCAGGTCCTGTCTAGTGTACATTATGTCATGGTTAAGTGTACATCAGGTCCTGGTCTAGATTTCAACATTGGTCCTTATTTCTATTTAGTCTCTTTTTCTGAAAAGTTACTTAGACTCAGACATTTGAGGCTATTTTCAAAAGGTACTCAGACTTTTGAGGCTATTTTCAAAAGTTACTCAGACATTTGAGGCTATTTTCAAAAGGTACTCATTTGAGGCTATTTTCAAAAGGTACTCAGGCATTTGAGGCTATTTTCAAAAGGTACTCAGACATTTGAGGCTATTTTCAAAAGGTACTCAGACATTTGAGGCTATTTTCAAAAGGTACTCAGACTTTTGAGGCTATTTTCAAAAGGTACTCAGACATTTGAGGCTATTTTCAAAAGGTACTCAGACATTTGAGGCTATTTTCAAAAGTTACTCATTTGAGGCTATTTTCAAAAGGTACTCATTTGAGGCTATTTTCAAAAGGTACTCAGACATTTGAGGCTATTTTCAAAAGTTACTCAGAAATTTGAGGCTATTTTCATGTAAATTAATTGCAGAACCTGTGCACGTTGTGTATTTAACAGGGTACTCGGCAAATAATTTCTTCATTGGTAAACATCATTTTCAGTCAAGAAAAGAACAACACTTTTGACTGAGCTTTATGTTCACAGGATAAATTGATGAAGTTAACATTCTTTTTCTCACAGTCATGTGGGACCAAACTGTAGGAATGGCCTGTTTGCTGTTAAACCATGGGGCACCACCCTGTCAGTGGGGCACCACCCTGTCAGTGGGGCACCACTATTTCAGTGGGGCACCACCCTGTCAGTGGGGCACCACCATGCCAATAGGGTACTTTTGTCATTGTACATTTGACTGCTGTGGTAACTGGGCCACTGTATTTATTTAATTGTTTCTTTGAGTTTTTTTGTTTTTTTTCTTCTAAATGAGCTTTTTGTACCCAACATGAAATGTGATGCTAAATAAATGTGATGGTGATTTACTTGTGTCGAATGTTCAATTCATTGTTAACTTGTGCTGGGGATTTGGAATGACACTCTACTGGGATAGAGTGACACACTACTGGGATAGAGTGACACACTACTGGGATAGAGTGACACTACTGTGATAGAGTGACACACTACTGGGATAGAGTGACACACTTCTTGGATAGAGTGATGACACACTACTGGGATAGAGTGACACACTTCTGGGATAGAGTGATGACAAACTCCTGGGATAGAGTGATGACACACTTCTGGCATAGAGTGATGACACACTACTGGGATAGAGTGACACACTCCTGGGATAAGAGTGATGACACACTACTGGGATAGAGTGACACACTTCTGGGATAGAGTGATGACACAATACTGGAATAGAGTGATGAGACACTACTGGGATAGAGTGATGACACACTACTGGGATAGAGTGACACACTTCTGGGATAGAGTGATGACACACTACTGGAATAGAGTGATGACACACTACTGGGATAGAGTGATGACACACTTCTGGGATAGAGTGATGACACACTACTGGGATAGAGTGATGACACACTTCTGGGATAGAGTGATGACACGCTACTGGGATAGAGTGACACACTACTGGGATAGAGTGACACACTTCTGGAATAGAGTGATGACACACTACTGGGATAGAGTGACACTGTACTGGAATAGTATGAGACTACTGGGATAAACGACACTCTGCAGGGATAGAATGATACTCTGCAGGGATAGAATGACACTACTGGGATAGAACGACACTTTGCCGGGTTAGAATGACACTGCACTGGAATAAGTAGGGAACATTTTATCAAAGATCAATTTATTTTAAAATAATCCATTGCTCTAACTTACCATCTGGCATTTATTCCAAATCTCATTCTATCTCTCTTACATTCTAATTCTGCCTCTCATGAATTCTATCCTGTTCATTCACCTCTTTCTTCATTCGATCATGCTTATTTTTAAAAATCTTTACCATTTCCCCTGATATGTTTGTGCAGTTTCGTAATGAACTTAATGGTGAGTTTGAGTTGAATATTCGGTCTCCATGGTTTGTCTCTTAGACATGTTGAATCAGTGTCTCAATGCTTTTGTCTTGTTGACATCTCGATAACATGGTGTGTCTTATTGACACGCTGAATACACGTCTCGATGGTTTGTCTCAGTGACTACTTGATGCCGCGCCTCAATGTTGTGTCTTGACTTGATGATCTGCTGACCCCCACATTTCAATGTTGTGTCTTGGTGACCAGTTGACCCCACATTTCAATGTTGTGTCTTGGTGACCTGTTGACCCCACATTCAATGTTGTGTCTTGGTGACCTGTTGACCCCACATTCAATGTTGTGTCTTGGTGACCAGTTGACCCCACATTCAATGTTGTGTCTTGGTGACCAGTTGACCCCACATTTAAATGTTGTGTCTTGGTGACCAGTTGACCCCACATTCAATGTTGTGTCTTGGTGACCAGTTGATCCCACATTTCAATGTTGCATCTTGGTGACCTGTTGACCCCACATTTCAATGTTGTGTCTTGGTGACCTGTTGACCCCACATTCAATGTTGCATCTTGGTGACCAGTTGACCCCACATTTCAATGTTGTGACCTATAAACACTGACCGACGGACGTGCTTTATAAACAAATGTGTCTCCCTTAAGACCCGTCTGACCATTTTTTTGTACATCAATGACGTCATGTCCCCATTTAAATAGCCTAGTCTCGTTTGGGTGGTGGTTTGGGGGGGGGGCTGTCCGCTGGGTCACCTATTTTATTTTAGTCGTGAGGATGATAAAGTTTTCTTAAGTCCCTGGGCCGTAGCGGCCGCACTTTCAGATGTCCGAGGAATCCAGAGGCTGGCCGTCCTGGCGTAGCGTTTGTGTGCCGGGTAAGGCGTGGACTCGGTAAGGTCAAGGGTCGCCGCCTTCTTGGACAGCCCGAGCGTTACAAAACACCCAGTTACGAAGAAGGCCAGCGCTATGCAAAACGTCAAGGCCAAGGCCAAGTTGGGGTCGTTGAGGTAGGTTGTTTTGTTTTGAAGGAGTAAACCTGGAACATCATGATAGAGAAATTTTGAAATGAATAATTTTTGGGGAGGGGGTGGTGAAGAGGGGGAGGGTTGAGGTGACTTTATCAGTGACTTTGAGATGATTGCCGAGCACTTGCCCCGAAGACTGCCGAGCATTCACCCCGATGACTGTCGAGCACTCGCCCCTAGCCCCCGATGACTACCGAGCACTTTCCCCTAGCCCCGATGACTGCAGAGCACTCGCCCCGATGACTGCCGAGTACTTGCCCCTAGCCCCGATGACTGCCGAGCCCTCGCCCCGATGACTGCCGAGCAATTGCCCCTATCCCCGATGACTGCCGAGCACTTGCCTCTAGCCCCGATGACTGCAGAGCACTCGCCCCGATGATTGCCGAGCACTTGCCCCTAGCCCCGATGACTGCCGAGCCCTCGCCCCGATGACTGCCGAGCAATTGCCTCTATCCCCGATGACTGCCGAGCACTTGCCCCTATCCCCGATGACTGCCGAGCACTTGCCCCTATCCCCGATGACTGCCGAGCGATTTCCCCTAACCCTGATGATTGCAGAGCACTTGCCCCTAGCCCCGATGACTGCAGAGCACTCGCCCCGATGACTGCCGAGCACTTGCCCCTAGCCCCGACGACTGCCGAGCACTCGCCTCGATGACTGCCGAGCAATTGCCCCTAACCCTGATGATTGCAGAGCACTTGCCCCTATCCCCGATGACTTCCGAGCACTCGCCCCGATGACTGCCGAGCACTTGCCCCTAGCCCCGACGACTGCCGAGCACTCGCCTCGATGACTGCCGAGCACTCGCCCTGACGACTGTCGAGCACTTGCCACTAGAGTTGCAACGGTTTCAAACAATTTTGGATACAATTGCTTAGATTCATAGAGTTCATTTTTTGTTTGATACTGAGATTTAATCATAAAAAAAGAAGGAACGAACTTCATGCCTGCTTGTAAAAGAAAAAAAAAAATTGTATTGGATTACAGTTAGAGCCAGCCACAATTCTCTCTGTAACAACGTTAGTTACTTGTAAGGGTGTTGTATTATTACCTTGCCTTAATTATCCAAATTTACAAATCATCCATGATACTTGAAAGCACGAGGGATTTGAATTTCGTATCTCTAACAAATTTATTGACATAATATTGACACAGTATATAAGACAAATCTCCTGAAACTGGAGAAAACGTAATTGTCACCGACTTATTTACTTCACATACACAATTCACTGAGATGCTGTTCGATGTACATTTAAATCATGGCTTGAG